CTAACCAAATGACAGAAAAAAGTTAACTCAACAATGATGATATCAAAATAGTATCAAAAAGATGGCTCACATTAATTTACGTCAGAATGAAATTTCTCTAGATGAATTAAAATTAACACTTTTTTATTAGCTTCAAAAGCATTAATATCTTCCAGGCATTCAAATCAATGTTTCAGGTTGTATTTACTTTTCTCCTTTGCGATCCGTCACACACACACACACCTCTTCAATATTGTAATGAATGTTCATAAAGTTTTTCTGTTTACACCAACCTGCGATGCTTTGACTACGCGCTGCGAATTGCCGTCATTCCTACCTATGGAACACGGCAGCTAACAGTCAACCTGAGCAACCGATGACAGTATCTGTGGACTCTCATCATGGTCGATATTCCAACAGCCGCACTCGGTATCGATTTCTTACAGCACTATGAATTGTTAGTCGATTCACGTAGACTGGAGTTAGTCGATACTTCGTCCAACAGCAAATTTATGGGCTTTTGAGCTACAATAGGTGCGCACCGTATTACAGGGGTATTTCATTCACGTGATGACATTTTCCACGCTTTATCGGAAAATTCCCCCATCTAACTTAACCACTCGAGATTTCATCGGTGACTCACCATGTGGTACACCACCAGTCACGGCTAAACCTCACTGAACAGCACCGGACAAATTAGCTTTCGCTATACCTAAGTTTGACGACTTACTAACTACTGGTACTATTCGTCCTTCTCACATTCCTTGGGGCTTACCACTCCACATGGTTCGCAAAAAGGATGGAATATGTTGGCTACCACGCAGCGACTACTGAGAACTAAACGTAGCTGCAATTTTCGATAGCAATCCCGTCCCCCTTATATACGACATCACGGCATCTTTTAGTGGCCCGACTATCTGTACTAAGATTGATCTGGTACGAGCATATCATCAGATCCCAGTCGCTCTTGAAGATATCGGGAAAACTGCCATCACGACTCCTTTCGGTCTTTTTTAGTTCATAAGAATGCTTTTTGGATTACGGAATGCTGCTCAAATTTTCCAAAGGTTTATCGATAGCATGGTACGAGACTTCGATTCTGTTCACGTCTATATTGATGATCTGCTAATCGAATCATCGAACGTAGGTGAACATTATCAACATCTTACACTCTTATTCCTACACCTCTCGGATAATGGAATAGTAGGTAACTCAGACAAGTGTGAACTGAGCAAGTCAGAAAAAAAATTCTTGGGTTACATCATTAAGCATGAAGGTATTCTACCTTATGAAGATAAAGTACGTACAATCATGGAGTACACTGTACCGTCTTCACTTAAAGAACTAAAGGCTTTTCTTAGTTTGGTTACTATCTACCGACGTTTCATTCCCTACACGACAGAACAGTTACGACCATCAGCCGACCTACTTCGCTTTAATCCACTCAAATTAGAATTGAACGATGCCGTATTTTCAGAGATCAAAAAAGCTTTAGCTCAAGCCACGCTCCTCGCCCATCCTGATCCATCATCCACGCTTAGTATAGTGGTTGCTGCATCAGATTTGCCCCTTTACCGACCATAAGCCTCTAACGTGTGCTTTGCATACATTCGGATTACATCTCTCAGTTCACGACAGACCTTCGTCATATTAAAGTTGAGTCGAACTATGTTGCTGAGGCTCTCTCACGTATCCAAGTGAATGCAGTTACTTTACCGATACTAGATCTGCCTGCTATGGCTGTTGCACAAACAAATAATCCCTCTGTACAGAAGCACCACAATCTACATCTCTTCAGTACCAGGAAGTGCCGCTAGTTACCAGCTGAGGTACTATCTTCAGTGATACCTCTACTGGTCTGCCGTGACCCATCGTACCCTCTGCCTATCGTCGTCTCGTCTTCGATGCACTTCATGAATTGTCTTATCCAGGCATCGCAACTACGTTACGTCTCACCGCTGCACGATACGTCTGGCCTTCCATGAATAAAGATGTCCGTATGTGGGTAAAGTAGTGCTTACAATGTCACGTAGCCGCCCCAATAGGCACATTTGCTACACCTGGTGCTCGCTTCGACCATGTTCATATTGACATTGTAGGACCATTTCCACCGTCACACGGGTATGATCACATGCTCACGTGCATCGATCGTTTCACAAGATGGCCCGAAGCTATTCTCATCACTTCTTTTACGGCGGAAACTATCACTCACCGCTTCATGGCACGATGGATAGCACTTTTCGATTGTCCGCCGACTGCCACAGCTGACCGGGCGCAACAGTTCGAGCCCGAATTATTCTCCCCGCTAACCCGGCTGCTTGGTACGGAGCGCATACGCACTAACGCCTACCACCCAGCTTCGAATGATTTGGTCGAACGGTTTCGCCGCCAACTCAAAAGTGCTCTTCAAGCACACGAAAACAACAATTGGTACGAAACCATACCGCTCGTCCTTCTAGGTATCAGAACAAGTTTAAAGGCAGAATTGGTTTAGAGTACGACAGTGCATCTGCCTGGGGAATTTTCAGCAACACGGAGCAGTGATAACTTCAATAAATCAGACTACGTCCAACGATTGTCTGAATTTATGCGAGCATTGCCCTCGGTGTCATCTCGAGTGCAACATCGACAGGTTGCTCTCCCTCGAGTGTTATATACCTGTTCACATGTTTTAATACGAGTCGATTCGGCACGCAAACCTTTGCAACAGCCCTACGAAGGACCTTTTCACAGGATTTCCTTTCTTGAAAAGACCTTCAAGGCTGCTCGATAAGGTGGTCACCATTGATCGTCTCAAGCCAGCACACGTCGATGACTATGCCCTACTTGCTAATCCGAGACTTAATGCCAGACCTATCAAACCTAATAGTGGGATCCTTGGAGCTACTTTGTGTCCCAGGCTAGACAAATCACAGACCTCATTCTCACGTCCCAGTCAGTAGCACGCGTCATCTGCACTATCTACGGTTGAGACTCTGGTCCCAGGTCCAGATTAGCAGACCACGCTTCCCTTGACTTCGGATGGGATTATAGGCTCACAAGGTACTCACGAGGCTACCGTCTCACGTTCCAGTCGCACCGTAGGCCTACCTGTACTAATTTCCTAATCAACGGTATAGAACGGTATACGACTTTATCCTCATACTACATGCATGCTACACCTACCTCTTGTCCTCAAATTTTTTCCCTTAACCCAAGTCTATGACCATAGCCCTGTTGGTACCGTCAATCTCAGTCAATCTTCGTGAAAGATGGCCTGAGCACCCACGCTCTTGTCAATGTACTCAGTCGATGATTTGATTCCGAAGAAATCTGGCATACTTATGATTTCGAACTTGGTCGTTCTGGTCGTTTCTGATTCCTTCCCGCGTCTGCAGCGTTCTCTGGTCCGTAGCTCTACGAACGTAATCTTCAGATGCTGGATACGAGCCAAGCTGGAGTGGTATGTGAATATATCGCACATCTCATCATAATTCCTCTAAGGTCCACTCATCTACTTTATATTCATTAACGATCTGTTAGACAATGTCAGTTCCTTGACACTGATCCACACAGACGGGGCATAGATCTAGGAACCTATTATAAGTGAAGAGAGTTTAACTGAGTTTCAAAGAGACTTTACATCCAATGAGAAATGGGCGGTGAAAAATGATTTAAAACTTATAGCCATTCGTATGATTCTAGAGGAAGAAGTATGTTTAATAATAGCCTCGTTAAAATGTAATAATGTCGAGGCCAGAGGGCATACAAACAGCTAACATCCACTCAGGAGACGTGCTAAGAGGAGAAAGGGGATAACACGCTTGGGGAGCGAGAGATAGTCTTTAGTTCAGATAAAGAAGAGGTGTAAAATATAACAATTATTGTCAGGATAAAGTACAGTATTAAATGATTATATTTCAGCAGTTGTGTTTTCTTTGTAAATATATACCCCTACGAACTAAACCAGCCAAAATGTCACGTCATGTACATTCTACCGCAAATGACGCAGCCAATTTACACCCTCAATGAAAGTTCGCTCCCTAATGTCTACTCAGAGCGCGATCTCGGCTGAATAACCCCTGAAAGTCTAGAAAACAGTTAGAGGTACATAGGGCTACAAGGCTAATGCAACTCTTCACTTCATGTGAACACACAAACTCACAAACAAATGCCAACCGACTAGAATTAGTGCAATCGAGTGGCTAGACCCCTATCCGCTGGAAACCACCAAATCCCTGTAACCGTAACGAAAGAACAAGGATCGTGCCTAAAGCAACCAACTGGTTTATACTAGCTCGTGAAAAAGATATGGGATTTTGGATACTAATTTAATGTGTGCGCTACAGTTGAGTATTTTGCCAGAACTTGAGAGAAGTGCTGATGAGATAGCACATCAATTAGACTCACTGCTTCAGTCATTGACGTCTGCATTAAACCAGGTATTCTACACTTGACCTCTCTTTATTCGTTTCTGAAACAAAATACTAGTCTCAGTAGACAGCTTTAAGAAGAGACTTGATAATCATGTACTCACATACAGATTATCATCTCCCTCTTGGACAAGCTGTTCATGATGCATATCTTGAGACCTGCTAGTTGTTATCATTGCCATCTCCTGAGGTCACTTACTTAATATATCTCCTACCATCTATGTTTCTTCCCCCTTGCTTACACTACGGTTTTCTCTCACAATCTTCACTACCAATTAACAAACTAAATTCATCTATGTATTACTCAGTTCTGAAATTTTATTCATATTAGCATTGGAATTTTATCCTTATTATCCTTATTACTCTCTGCATTTCAACTAACTGATCTCCGGTCTGGTAATGTGATAGCTGCTGGTATCCAGAAACCCTACAGCCCTGAAACAAACGTTTTCATTCAAATCCCGGGGCATACAAACTCACAACCAACTGACTAGAATAAGACAGTCGAGTAGTTAGACCTCCATCCATTGGACACTACCGAACACCTGGAACCGTACCGAAAGAACAAGAATCGAGCGCAAAGAAATCAGTTTGTTCACACTAGCTTGTGAAAAAGATATTGGATATTGAGAAAGCCAGTCATTAGATGTATCTTAGCTGACGTGTTATAACTAGTCACTATCGATAGACTGGTTTAATTCTTACCCGAATTATCGTTCTCAGATCAGAGTAGGCTTCAATGCCGGTCAGACTAAAGAATGGTTGAATGAAGTTCCCCTTAGGCTTTATTGCTTGGAAGTCTTTTCTTCTTAGTTTAGTATAAATAACCTTCTTCAATAAGTATCATCTGAGATACTGCTTTCTCTGAATATCCTAAAAGGTGGATAGACGTTTTCAGTTATGGTGGTAAGTTGTAACTTCAGAAAGATCTGACTTCAAAGGTGAGCGGACAACGGACCTATCTTCAACACTTAAAACTCTTAAATGATCCAGCTGAGACACTTCTCAGAATGCATCGAAAATTTGAGTACTTCCCATGTGGATCTGTTTCAGGTTGAAAATGATTTGCAATTGTTTACACCTTAATGGTCTGAAGTCTTACGCTATGTTACAAAAATGCATTTCAAACTTACCTCGCACTGGGTTAGCACACTCTTCTGTTTAATGTTTAGATGTCAACTCTTACTTTGGACTGTACAGCTGTATTTTCGGATTCAGTGGAATACACTTGTGAAACCATCGGTTCATGTATAAAGGTTAGTTTGTGAACAAGTGCCCAGTTGATATCGGTAATTTGAAAATATACGACGTTTTATAATTGAAGTTAGGTCTTTCAAACATAGTCTAGCACTATTCACCTGTCGTTCTTATCTATTATTCCAACGTACTTACTTTATTCTGCCTCATGAAAAACATGTAGTCTTGGGATGTGTAATATTCACTAGCCGTTAACATTTTTGTTATTTTCAAAACACATCGTAATAGTCTTAAAATCACTCTTTGTAACCAAAATGTTGTTAACTGTTACTGATACGTAAATCATAACTTCTCAGATTAACCAAAAAAATATCCACTAAGTCACATCCAGCTACTTTAAATTATGATCGTGTCTTCCTCTGTTATGCAATTATCTGAGACCCAAATAAAATACGTCGCAAACTTTGAGAACGTAACTTGTTTAAGGCACTTCGTATTAGCATAAAATGTATGTGTACAGTAGTGGGAAAACCAAAACCTGAACAATAGTTTCCTGGGTGGTCGTTTTGCTATTAGCTCAATGTAGGTTTACTGACACTGTTAGTGTAGTTAGTAAACATCTGGAAAATGTAAATACTTTCTCAAAAGTTACTCTTAATTTATGGTAGATAGCTGCCTATAAGTACTTTAGAAAGGTTTGATATTTACGTCCATAAATTTCTCGTATGATGTTCGTAAGCATGTAAATGAAGCTTTTGTGTAAGCTTTCAGTTCAATCCAATTTACTAACCAAAGATATTCTTATACATAGCCTCGCCAGACATTTTGGCGAACGATTTTCTTGTAGGCGAGATATCTGTCTACTTACTAACTAAAGGACAAGTCTATCGTGCGGCAGTTCGCTCCTTCCTACTTTACGGGTATGAAACATGGCCAGCAAGAGTAGAGAATATTCATAGGGTACTAGTGTTCGACCAGTGGTGTCCTTAAAGGATTGCTCATATATCCTGGGACTGCCGACTAATCAATGCTGTTGTTGGGAAACTGGTACCAGGCTAGGATGACATATCAATTTATGAAGTATTGAATCTTCATCAGTTGAGGTAGTGGGGACGTATGTTACGTATGAAGTCACTGACAACTTAACTGAGTCATGTAGGTAGATGCAGACTATGTGGTTGGGGTTTGCGAGACGATAGTAATTGATGATTAGAGAATTTGAATGACATGGCTCAAAACCGTTAGCAATGGCGCAGGGCATCCATTCCTTGTGTTCTATCAAAGCCTAATCCCCTGCATTCCTCTTGACCTTCATCTCTCCCTTTTTAACCTTATTTAACTAGCTTATACTTTCCATCACGGCTAATACTTCTACTAAATATGTTACTATGGCATTCGATTTTCGGAATTCGGTCTCTGACCCGATTACTGCAGTTGTAAAGACACATGACTGCAAAAATGTGATGCCACTGCATAAAATTAGGTTGGCATTTTTTTGTGCTAAGATCAAAACCAGTCAATAAACATAGCTTCGCTAATGTGAACGTATCCGAACCATATGTTAAACTATATTCAACTCGCAGTCTGCATTACCTCAGAAACTTAACATTTAAAGCATGCATTCGAGTAGTCAATTTCTTTTTTTGTTTCTGCCTAACATTGTTAAGATCTCTTTATACTGCCCAGCTTCTCTCATTGCTTAGTATTCCTTAGACGCTACTTAATTCGACTAATCCCCGAATCAGAACACGGCATAATCAGGTACGGAATTATATTTTAAATAAACTAAACTAAACAAATCTCAGTAAGAAGGACTTTAGTATATTGATAACTTTACGCGAGAATGTTTTATAGTCTTCTCATCTATCTTTTAATGCTGACTGGCTAAAAAGTGGGTCAATTAATGTATCCTAATGCCATCCTGTCTAGGGCATGTAATAATCCGGTCTTTGGTCTTTAGCCGAACTACATTCTGAGGGCGATTAGGAGCGGAGTCAGCTAAGACGTAGGCTGAAAAAAAGCCTACGCAGTGATCGAGAACAGTGGTGGGTGGAGAGAGATGGAAAAGGCAGCGGCGATAGGCAACAGTAGGCAACTATTTAGACTCATCAAGGAAACTGGTATTAGGGTCTCGAATGTGAGTGAGACTATTACGGAAAAGGATGGTCTTACTATCCATTTTCAATCCAGGAGACTGGACCGATGGGCAGAACACTTTAGGGATCAGTTCAACTGGCCACGAGCCACTCTTCGGTTACCCACGATCTCCAGTCATCCTGAATGGCAAATCGACCTAAGTCCCCATAGTCTTAATGACGTTGAGAAGGCGTTAGGAAATCTGAAGCGAGGACGAGCTGCAGGTCCTGATAGACTGACCCCTGAGATATTTAAGGATGGTGGTCCAGTTTTAGCAGCTAGGCTGACTGAGATCTTAGGTAGAATCTGGAAACTGAACGTAATCCCATCCGACTGGTCTGAATCACTGATTGTCCCAATTTATAAGAAAGGACAAAAGTCTTCTTGTGACAATCACAGGGGAATCAGTCTAACTAATATAGTATCTAAAATATTGGCCTCAATAATACTTTGACGCTTAACGAAAGCTCGTGAAGAGCAGGCTAGATAAAACCAGGCTGGTTTTCGACCTGGACGTGGTTGTATAGACCACATTTTCACACTACGTCAGGTCCTGGAACACAGGCACACATTTAGGTGTCCTACAATAGTTGTCTTCCTGGACCTTAAGGCGGCATTCGACTCAGTGGACCGTGAGGTTCTGTGGCAGTGTCTGTCATTGAAAGGTGTACCAAAGAATTACATTAACCTTATACAAGCTCTCTACTCGAACACCACTGGTCGAGTGAGAGCTTATGGCGAACTGTCACCGGCATTCTTCACTTCAAGTGGTGTCTGGCAGGGATGTCCACTCTCTCCATTCTTGTTTAATTTTACCATAGACATGCTCCTAGATATAGCCTTACCCTCGTCTGAATTTTCAGGAGTAGACCTTTTACCTGCTGGCTCGCTTATTGACTTAGAATATGCCGATGACATAGTCCTACTTGGTGAAGACGCTGACAAAGAGCAGAGTCTTCTGACTACCCTAAGCATCAATGCAAGCATGTTCGGGATGCGGTTCTCACCCTCGAAATGCAAAATGTTGCTTCAAGATTGGGTTGCATCGGCACCTGGACTAGTGATAGGGAGTGAAGTAGTCGAACGTGTAGACCGCTTCACTTATCTTGGGAGTCTCATCAGTGCTGATGGCCTGGTGACTGACGAAATCTCAGCTCGGATACAGAAGGCTCGATTGGCTTTTGCCAACCCACGTCACTTATGGCGTAGGCGTGATATCCGTTTGCTGACTAAAGGACGAGTGTACTGTGCAGTAGTTCGCTCCGTCTTACTTTATGGCTGTGAAACATGGCCGTTAAGACTAGAAGATATTCGTAGGTTACTGGTTTTCGATCATAGATGTCTTCGAAGCATTGCTCGTATATCCTGGGACACCCGAGTGAGCGACGCTGTTATTAGGAAGCGGGTGCTAGGTAAGAATGGCAGATCAATAGATGAAGTGCTGAAATATATGAGAATAACCGTTCTCTGAGTGCACTGTTGTACTGCATAAATCACCCTTACTCAATAATCTAAGGTCAACCAACGTCAGTGTTTACGATATGTATCATACCAATGAAGATTAGTAGAACAAACATAAACACTGTGGTGGTGTTTCGTTCTCTGAGCTGGATGTTTAGGTTGTGGAGCTTTCATTGTTTTTCTGAACAACATCAGCACAAACTTCAGATAGAAGTAAAGTGTTTCTCCACGTTTGACCCGTTGCTTGTTGTGTTAACCTCGATCTTGATTGGTTGCAGTTAACCTTAAACCTGTCGTTGTTTGTACCTTCGTTTTGATTGTATCCCCCTTTTGATCCTATGTTGCCTTTGGTTTTTCTGATTGGCTGATGAATACTCTCGTTGCTAAACTGATTATGTCAGAGTTTCATGTTAGTTAGTCATAATCATCTTATTAATACCTCTCTAAACGCTTTTCATTTTTAAAAAGTCGAAATCACATATTCCCGAATAATAGTTATCGGATCGAGTACAGATCTATGCGTATACGATATAGTTGGCATAGTTCCAGCATAAACGTTGATATGTTTCAATGAATAATCCGTTTTATGATTTGTTCGTTGCGGTGATGTAAATACATCTTACAATAGACTGCTATATCTCTGAAATTTGACGTGAAAATCAATATTTTTACTTAATTAACTTGGTTCAGGTTTGAAACCACCAATCACAGCTGTAGATATACACTAATTCACGCTTTATGATCCACTTGTAAATACTAATCCTATTAACAGTTCCATCTTGATCTGAAATGAGCACAAATCTCCAACGTATCCTAAAACCATAAGGTGGGATAGAGTATTACAGAACAAAAGGTCATTTATCAATGCTATAATTAACTAACCAGATGAGAGCGTCAAATAAATTGAGCAACATAAAATGTATACATTGTATTGTTTAATGTTATTGGGATATTTTTAAAAAATTTATTTTATCCGTAGTCAACGTACGTTCTAATGGCTAAATGCGAAGAATTATCTAAATCCATGTCTCAGCTTGGACCTTTGCAGAAAGAAATGTAAGTTACGCTTCTGTTTCTTATATCTTTCTTCAGATTAAAACATGTGTATATATAAAATAATAATAATAACCCTTGTAACTCCGTCTATCCAGTCATCATTGTGTATAACTTGATATCATCATTTTAACGGGTCTATTGTATAGAGTTGCACTAAATGCCCTCAACGAGTGCGTGTAGTATAACGAAAACCACATTGGATTTAATTCGTAACTGCAAGGCGATCTAATATTGCTGCAAAGCACTCCGTTTATATAAAGTCATCAAAGTCGCTATGATTTGAACCAAATCTGATCGCTTCAAACGTATATCACTAAATGAGATTGTATGCTATTGACAGTCTTTTGCAAAAACTTAGGAATTCATCTATTACAATTGTCTTAAAATCACGGCAACTAAGGGGAAACAAAAAAATTCATCTTACCAGCGGACTGGTTCGAGAATCTATCCATCCAAACATAAGATTTAGCGTCAACTAAGCTCAAACTAGAAGAATTTAAGACAGCACTGGTTAACTACCTACAGCCGTTCTAGGATTACTGCCGGTCCCAAGCCCGGATAAAGGAGGAGGGTTGGGCATTGGGTTGGTGACCCCATCCCGTAGAAATATAACTCACTAAAAGAACGCTAACCAGAAAAATAATTCGCTGGTCGGCGGCCTATGCTCCATGAGGGGTAACAGGTATAAGCTAAGCATGACGGACAGAAATAAATGTTTTTGACCAAACTTGTTTTACTCAACCAGCTCAAAATTTTTAATAACTGTGCAGTCAGATATCTAATATGTTGAACCATAACTCAATTCATCATCATCCCTAAAATGACCTAGTACTCACTATTTTGATCAACTGCAAGTGTGTTGATCTAAACTGATTGGGATTGCAATAGTTGTACACTAACACTTAGCGTTTTGTTTTTGTTTAACGTTCCGTCCAGATAATCCATTTGATGCTTTTATAAGTTCTTACACGGCCGCAATCCAGTAGTCATGTTTTTGGAGAAGAATACAGAGTTACCATTGATTTATAAGCGGTTCAATGCAACTGTACCATTTCAAATGATTATTCTTTAGATTATCTGCATAATTATTAGACAGTTGGATAGTTGTACTTTTATGTTATGCTCAGTAACTACTACTCTGTGTTTTATCTTCCTAAAGTTACTGTGAATTAATCATGAACCTATTCCTGAGTTATCTTTCACTTGTGACGTAACTTTGCAGTTATTAAAGTTCTTTATGTTAGTCTGCGATCTGGAAATTAATCTATATTGTCATACAAGTTTAAGCAATCATTTGAACTATACAGCAGAAGTTACCTGCTCGTTGTATTGCTGTTCTAGACAATTGAGTGTGGAAACTTTATACTAACAAATGGTTGTTAAAATTATCGCTACCTCAACTCAAGATTAATGTTGTTACTGGAAGCATACAATTGATCAAAGCTTAGATTAAATAGCATTTGTGGGGTGTAGAAATATTAAACGATTCCTAAACGATAAACCTCATCGATTGCTATATTTTAGCATGGTTCTCATTTATTTCAAGTTCTCAGTAGGAAAAAGAAATGACGTGGATTTTTCAACAAACCCTGCTACTGAATCTTAAAATAAGCTTACAAACTCCAAAGTTAATTATTTTAAAATCCAAGAACTTGTCAGTCCAAATATTGTTTTCCAATAATATTGAAAATTAGAAATGTATTAGTTAATATCTAACATTTGATAATTTGTATTACTTTCTTTTATTGTAGAGAAAGTATAAAACGGACTTTAAGTAAATTTGAGGAAGCGTTAAACACGCCTTTGAAGTGATGAGAAAATAAAGCATCCTGAGAAACATTTTTGTTTCGTAAAATTGTAAAATACCAGTCTTCATGTACATAGCGTGTATATTATGTTATTGAACTACTATCATTACACTCACCACAGCTATTATGTCTATATAATATGTATTCATATTAATTAATATATCTTTAACTTTAAAATGTTGTTATTTTCAATTCTATTGTAACAAATACCACTGAATTCCATCACAAAAATGACAAAACACTTTAAAGAAACAGTTTGTTCCAGTATTGGGAATCAAGCACTCACTGAATAATAACCGCATAGCTTGACGCGATATGACGCTTACCTTACATAGGAATCATCAATCAGTCAATTATAGAACACTATTAGAAACCAGGAATCACTGAACGGTCGTTCCGTCCTGGTAAAGGACTAATCAGCAGTGCACATCCAGGACTCCTGCTACTGGTAGCATTCGAACCCACGACCTTCGGTGATGTGCGCGAAAATCCAGTGATCCATATGTTTGAACTAACCAATAGTTGCTTAGGTAATTACAAACAGCCATTGAAGATAGATATATCACTCGAGATTTTTGCAATGACCGAAATCAGTGATTAAAAAACTCACGGAGCTACGGGCTGATTTTAAGGATAGACTATTCGATAACAGGGTGACGTCAGCCAGAGAAACTGCGAACCGAGAACTGCTTTTAGCTTCTTTGTCGCACTTTAGAACTACTTGGCAGATTGTACATAAAGTCCTGGACGAAACAAACCCAGAACCTTCAGATATCGCATCAGACACGCTACTTTAATACCGATGTGGCTAAATATCCGTTTAGTTGACATCGCAGTCTGCTCGAATGAAACTTGGAGTTGTCGCAAAGTGTCAGTCGATCAGCGACAACGTAGAACTTGGTACGTACGTACTTCGGTTCCAGTTGCCATACTGTATTAGCACAGACAGAGAGATCGAATTGTCAATTAAAATCCCATAGTGGTAAATGTTGTAGCACTATTCGTGGTAATCGAAAAGATTAGGGATCGACGATATTATTCAAGAAGTATAGGCCGGTGAAATAAACATAAAAGGAGAAAGATAATGGTGATGAGGAATCCGGAAGGTTAAGATTTGAGAGAACACAAAGAATGGATGCACCTGCGCCATCGCAAATGATTTTGAGTGATGTCATTCAAAGTCTCTAACCATCGGTTACTATAGTCTCGCAGACCCCAACCAGATGGTCTACATCTACCAACATGGCTCAGTCCGGTTGTCTGTGACTTGAAGGATTAGTGTGGTGTGTTGATTTGGCCGCCTTTTGCTTCCGGCCTACTCCTTTGTCAGATAGCATAGTGAGTTGAGGTAGTCGGTGGTTGGGCATACGTAACACATGTCGCCGCAATCTCAACTGATGACTCGAAACGAAAGGAGGCGGTTAGTAAGGTTGACCCTAGAAGTACCACTTCTCAATTTACCCTAGTAGGTACTACCGACCTCGGTGGTGAGACCTTCAGAAGAGCGGAGTTACCAGTTCAACAGCGTCCCATAAAAGGCTGTGGCAGTTGCTCCTTGTATTCTGCGGTCACGCTGCCAGGTCACCACGACCAACAATAACTCAACTTTCTTTTCAGGTCCTTTCAGAGATAGCCTTTCACCGTGCGGGCAACCGGGAAGTGGCATCTGTCCTAATATGCCTATCAGCGCACCGGACTGAATTGTTCGCAACCAAATCTACCCCATCACAGATTGACGACCTTCACTCCACGACTTACCCCTCTCTCATCTATATTTCCTGTCGTCGCTAATGGTATCGATTCGAGCACACGGAATGGTATTCCTGTTATTCGCGATTCACTTTCTATACTTGATGTCAGAGATATTAATTTTCTAAACTTCAGTCAAGTAGGACAACAGGCCTACCTGGCTAGGTAGGACCTTGAAATCTCGCACCAGGGTCGGAGTATAGTCCTTCATTTGACCCCGCCGTGTCAATATGAAGAACTGCTGTGATTTATTCTTTTCTGTATCTGCAGATTGAGCACTCTGGTTGAATGCTTAGTGCATAGTTTGACGTGATATGAAGCCTACCCTTCATCATGACTTCTTCTTAAGACCTTCCAATACATTATTGGTCGCAAAATATTGAATTAGGCTGACTTATAGTTACTCAAATCATTACAGTCGGCTAATGAAGGTTATTGGCTAGTAGTAAAGTTGAACCGAAACGACCCGTAACAGCAACTGTTCTTAGTTTGCAATCATCGCATTTCGAAAAAGAAAAATCAGTTGTTGAATTGTAGATGTTCTTCAATCAGTGTGACTAGATCATTTTAGCCCACTCTCTACTTAAATTTTCCATTTAAAACAACTGCTTCGACCAAATTGCAGCGATAATTCATAGAGATAATTACTTAAGATAACTCGGATAAATAATCCGCCTAAGATTTTCACGATGATCAAAATCAGTGACCAAAGTTTGATTCGATTGATAGCTTGTTTGACAACTACAAGGAAGCAGCTACGTTCAGCTGTCTCAAAGTGTGGCCCTATTTCTCTGCTTCTGGAGATTTTTGTAATAAGCCAAAGCACCTGACCAATAGAAGTTTGCTTTTATTAGTTATTCAGACAATATTTCATTTGCAGTATAGATGAAATCCGTTGCACACTAAATACTTATATGCATAAATTCGCAATAGTACACTTACTGTTCATGAGAAAGCAAAAGGAGAGTTCAGCAAATTGAAGTGCCGAAATCGGTGTTTTTGAACGTTCATTATCTAATTCCTTCCTTCTGTTCTCCAACGGTGTATATAATAAATCCATAAAAGCATTGTTCCTACGTGTAGCACAATCACATATATCCATCCTATGATGAGTAGGTAATCTGGTTTCATGATCCGGTTTGCTGATGGTGATTGGCCAATTCTTACTGATTCATTCGAATGTAATTGTGGTGCATATTGTGAACCGGTTGTACTCCGATCATCCACTTCTCCAACTGTTATAGACTGTTCGTCGAATCCATATTCATTTGATGGTAAGGCATATTGTTGACCATATAAATCACATAACTTCAGTGCGTTTATTAGTTTTTGACGGCTGGTTTGTGATATGTTGTTGATACGTGATTTTGAATAAAGCTGGGAACGAAATAAAAACGATAATAAAAATGTATAACAAGTGATCGAGTTTTTAATGTTTATTAGTTAGTAGAAATGTCAGGTTGATCACTGGCTAGAGGGGGATGATGAGTTCGGTTTGCAGTTATCCAGCTTTCGATGATAATAATAATTTCAGTTGGTTTAACAGTTTTATTGTTCAACACATGTGGTGGGATAGACGAAATATCCGTGTGCGTGTCGAGTGGCGATTGTACTGTACAACAGCTTGCTCTGTGTTACTTTAAGGTTATGGAGTCCATGTTTTGAGGGCAGCAAACCTACGTGGGTCTCAATCATTCGACCGTGTCTTGAAATTGTCGCTCGTGTATCGGGGTGAGCAGTGCTGATGTTAGTTATTCGACTTGGAGTGCTAGCAAAGGTGTTCAGTCGATCAATAAAGGTGTGAACATTCCTTGACTGATCCTGAATTTTCCATTGGGTCATATCGATCGTGTGAGATGTAAGACGGACGAGTTTGTGATTTCGGCGAAACATTTGTGTTGTGTTATAACGATCGACACAACACTATGTGACTGAGACACGTAAAAGTTTAAGCTAATCAAAATTAAGCTCAATTGTAAAGATGAACTCATGAAATATCATACATATGTAATACTCACTCACTGCACTCAAATCACACCCACTGTGTGTGATCTTTCTCGTTTCCCCCACACATTTTTGACCGATAACATTAGTTATGCAAGTGCGTGTTTGTTGACGATATGGTTTCTTGTGACATATTTCATTCAAGTCAGGCCAAATACAATCAGACCATGCTGACCATACACTCCATATAGCCGGTAACGGTTCAATCTCACAATGATCACCTGTATAACCATGAGTACAGATACATTTGTACGAAGTTGGATCACTAGCATACTGAATGCACTGTCCGGAATTTTCACATGGTTGCCTTCTCATTTTTAATTCACTGATAATATTGAATTGACCACAAGCTGGTATAGGCACACATCTTGGCCTATCATTACTCTGGTACTGATGTGTTTTAGGACACTTGCAACTAATATATTCATTCATAAAAAGGAAAGAAAATAAGTAACATTCCTGTCATCAGTAGAGCGTAAAGTTATTGAACATTGATAATTGGTCAGCTAAGGTAAATATTGTATCATGTGTTTTTTCTCTTATCTGAGTCACAAAATGTATACTTTAAGCGATATGAGCTCATTGAACAATCGAAGCTTAATTCGTGTCCTCAGTAGCTGAGCTTAAAAGTAGACTTAATGAATATTGACTTGTATCGTTCGGTTATGAGGTGTATTCGATCAGCTGATGCGATTTTTATGGATGATAACATTCATCAGTTTATTTCAGTAGTAAATATTCTTTCTATATAGGACAGATGCTGTTACGGTTATTTCTAACAGGAATTCAAACACATCAATATAAATGATTACAAATAGACGAATTCGTGGTAGCGTTTCATTCTCTGAGCTGGATGGTATTTGAAATCACTTCCAAGAGTGACACTGTTGGTATTCGACAATAAAAATTTGTAAAAGCAAACAAATCGAAAGACGAAACATTTTCTAGATTTTGAGATATTAAACAAGATAGTTTTGAGTGTTATAGTGAAAGTGGCTTTCTTTTTGAAAATTACAATAAGGATTTACATGGAATTAGCTAGAAAACGGAAAAAAACAAGGAAATGAAGGTGTGTGTTGTGATGAACTGCTGACTATTTCGTAGTCATTCTTATTGAACCCAAGATTTGCTGTTATATTTGTCTCTTGGGTTACTTCTACTGAGGTATACACTGAAAATCATACAGTAGATGTTATTTCATTCTGTAGTGATGCTTCCCATCTCTCTGTTTATGAGATTATACATTCAACTTTTCGCATTTTTTTCTTTATTACCACATGTGTCATATTTAAACTGAAATATGACAACTTACTTCTAAAACTTGATAGAATACTTACCGAAAACCATATTCTAGATTTCGTGGATCTCGCACACAAGGAAATGGACCACAACCAATTTCATATTGACAAGGATCTCTTTCATGCTCACACCGGCTACCTCTGAAAGCAGGTGGACATTGACAAAGTAAGCCTTTTATCGAATAATCCGTCCCCAAGTCCGGTACACATGTGCCTCCGTTGGCACAGTAACTATCACTGTGACAACCACGTTCTTTCTTATCTGAACATGTATCTGAAATTCTATCATACTAAGAAACATAATGAAATGTGATACTGGAATTTCGGTATGACAAACAATTCTGTTGTTTTTAAAAAATACATGCAATTACTCTACCAGTGTGAATCCGCTCCAATCGATCCGGATAAGAGAATGAGTTAATATGATCAAATAGGTAAAGTAAGGTAATGTGTTGTTACATAACGTATGTTAGACGAGAATTAGAAATCAAATTTTTTGATGCTTTGATCATCTGATTAAAAGTAACAATAAAAGGAGCAAACATGTACTACTATTCAAGTTCCCATTCAACTCAATAACTGTGAATGAATACTTCAATAAAACACACTGCTGGGTGTATTCTGTTATCTATAACAGATCACATGATATTCATTATGACTAGTAGTGCAACTTAACAGCTGAATATGTGCTGTAGTTTTCACTGAATATAAAACTTTATACGGTTCGAGTTAAATGACACAATTTTCTTTTATAATTTTTTAAAATGTGAAGACTACTTCTTATTTGGATAGTAATACTTTCTATTGAAATTTATTATTTTCCTTTTGCTAGTTATTGGCCTAAGATGATTGATTATTGTTGATATAATCAACGGGAACAATGTTAAAATGTATGACTGTATCCAGGTATTTATACAAGCAAGTACAAGTACAAAAAGATATAAATGTGTCTACTTTCATGGTTGCATGTATTCAGTTGAAAGGTGTTGGCGAATAATTACTTTCGTCTATCGATTTCCTCTTTCTATGCTGATTTATCAGAAGGTTGAAGGTGCTTGTTTGTTTTCATATATTTGTAATATACACTTGATTTCATAACTATTCCCGAAAGCTTGTCTAAAGCGACAATTTGTTTTCCGGATATCAGAATACCTGTCGAAAATGACTGGAGCGTATTGTTTATTCATCAAGTTTTTTTATACGAAGTGAGATTTAACTGTATTTAATTTAACCGCTTGGTCTTGCAAATTAAAATCAGTGATATGTACTACTGTTAAGTAGTTAAAATTTTACTCTGAATCTGTCAAACTGCATTTGGTCATGACATTTGAATGACTTAAAAAGATGGCATTCATCATTAGCTGATATCATCTAGTAAATTATCAAGAATTAGAGAAAACTATCTAATCGTTTCGTCTTATTCAGGTGTCTAGGAGCTAACACGGGATCAGACGGAAAACATTGAGTTCTTGAAGTAAGCAGCCGATTAGCTACCATGTTCAAGGTATACTACAAGAAACGTCAAGCCTCATAGGTTCTCGTTACATTTGATCAACTGTAAAATTACGCGGTTAACCACCGATTATACTGTCGAAGATTCTGATATATATATATATATATATATATATATATATATATATATATATATATATATATATATATATATATATAATATTAAAATAACCGAAAGCGATAATTGGATCCTATTGGACTCAATCTCAGTGATGAATAAGTACTTCACTAAATTTGAGACCTAGAAGTCCCTGGTTTGGCCTAATATAAACTAATGAGTGCACTTTGCTTGGGTGTCACGTCTTGCTACTCCGTAATGTCTTGGTATCCTCCAGATGCTGTCAGTCTGTAATGAAAACCATTGAAAATAACTATTTAAAAATTTTAGATTACTACAACTAATGGATCAAAATATGTATGAAAATCATCCAGTTTATTCATCTATCTATATATAAATGAACGCTATAGTTATATATAAACCAGATCTATCTGTTGATCAGTAGAACAGATGTGTTAAAAAGAATTTGTAATTCAAGCTAAATATAAGCAACAATGAAGAACTCTCAACAAAAACAGTTCAGTTATTCAATGTTCTTCCTACTTCAAACTAATTATTCTAAAGCGAAACTTCATACTACTTACTATATATTTAGCTCCACAAGGACAATAAGCTGTCAATGAACTTTTTTGTTGAATTTCAATGGTTTTAAAAAACCTCCGCTCGTCATTAAGAGAATGCAGAAAGAACTGCATTGGTAAACGCCTCTCAACAGGTACATGTAATAACCAATTTTTCAAAATTTTCTCTATTTCTATACCTTTCTTTGCTTCTGCATAATCAATTTTAATATTACGTACTAAGTCATCCATGTAGGTACCACAAAAACCAACAGCATGTGGTTTGTTATGACAATATTTGATTGTTTTACTACGACATATATCTGGGCAATTCAAATGTGGATCGATCCCACGAAAGCATAAACCCAATCTAAGAAAGTGAAACAAAACAATTAGTAACGCATTAAAACTTGATCAGTTTAAGAGAAATAAATATTTTTGAAGTGAAAAAAAAAAAGAATTTTCTGCCCAAAGATGAACGAATATAGAAAGATGATCAGTGGTTTAACGTGTTCAATATTATTATGTTGCCTCACAGACGTGGAAATTCTTTACTTAATCTTGTTCAAAGTAATAGAATAGAATAGATTACAAAATAGCTTCACTCACTGTGGAATAGATCTCTAGTACTGCGTTACTTCTAGCAATCCTTCAGTTGCTGCCATTATGTGATCACAATGATTCAACACTTATCAAGCGGTAATTGATTTATGATTTGAAGATGCTGAGTATGTGATGATAAGTAGAACGCACTGTTTTGAAAAGATGCAGTATATCTTCCTCTGAAATTATTCTTAATGGAAGAGAGAATGGAGTATAATGAAATCCTGACATTATTATATATATATATTCCAGATTCTGAAGAAGGGTACGCGTTTTACTAAGGTTGACTTATAAAAATATTCCGATGAATGAGGTTCTGTTTAGTTTAATATAAACTAAAAAGCTACTACAAAGTTTTATAAAAGTTCCAGAAAGCTAACTTCACAGATTATTGCATAGATGTAATAAAATAAAATATTTCATAAGTCAATTTTACGTATTAATAGTAATTGTGCTAATTCATTTGTTCCAAATATGTTTTGATTAATAGTAACAAAATCAAATATCACTTCATTGAAAGCATTCATTGTTGCTACATATAGTTCTGACGGATGAGATTTTTTAGACATTTCTCCACCCTGATTGATCCGTAAGCAAGAGTTAATTTTCTCCTAGTTAGCAAAATAACTTGAATAAATTTGTTTTCTAGACAAAAGTATGATAGTTCAAATGTGCTCAGAAATATACTGATGTATTTACTTTTTATATTCATTATAATACTAGTTATGCTTAATTTACTGGGTATTCATTCATGACATATCTTCACTACATCTAGTGATTTTCGGAATGTGTACTGACTTTTCGTGGTCGATTCGATCTGTTACAAATTTGTACAACAGTTTAGTTATCAGCCAAATAACGGTCACGGTGATTTAGTTGAAAGCGTTACTAACAAACACAAATGAATAGAAACTTTGTGTTTACCTATACATGATATCCAGTATAGCTCTAACTGTTTTTGTATTTCTTGCTAATACTCTATTGTATACTTCTTTAACCCATATTAAATTATTCATTAATTCACAATTGATTTGCATAACGATTAAATTACCAAGATAATCATGTGTTGCATTTATTACCAAATCAATCATATCCAAATATATTTTTGATTTTAAAATACTATTCGGTGGTACGAAAATATCTAAATTTCTGTCTTCTGTAAATCGTCCGGACATCAATGTACCATAATAAACTTCAGTTGCTTCTTCAATCAACTGAACGCGTTGTGCTTGTAAATTTGGTGTACCACTACATTTCCATAACCATGTTGTAGGCCAACTTTCTTGATAAACAAAATATAATGGAACAATATTACAGTAGGATGTGCACAAAAGTGAGCATATAGTAAATAATGTAAAGAAATACATGTAAATTAAAACAATGTTACAAATTATCGACGTTAAAATTAGTAAAATTTGATAGTCATTCAATGGATAAGTTTAAATTAGACTGAGTTATCGATCACTCAATCAATTATTGATTAATAAAAACAAATACTGCATTAACTAGAATTACTATTATTCAACATGTACAGACTTATGTACACAGTTTCATCTGATACATTTTTTGCGCTTTTTAGATACCTTAAAAAGTGAAGATAATCGAACGGTGGATGCCAGTCACAAAGTAGCTCATAAGTAGTATGCAGAGTAGCGTCGCCTAGAGGTGGCAACTAGAGGGAATAATGTTAAGAAATCAAAGCACATGGCGTGATTAGGTTACTTAAAAGAGTAAAGGAGCTTCAATACAAATAAGTCCATAAACTTTGATTGCAAATACATGCTTGGAGCATATATACACGTATTCTGTAAACACAATGCGCTCTCACCAAACATAAATATGCCTAAACTGGTAACTTATTTTCTTTGCTTTTTATGAATCAATATATTAGTTGCAAGTGTCCTAAAACACATCAATACCAGAGTAATGATAGGCCAAGATGTGTCCCTATACGAGCTTGTGGTCAATTCAATATTATCAGTGAATTAAAAATGAGAAGGCAACCATGTGAAAATTCTGGACAGTGCATTCAGTATGCTAGTGATCCAACTTCGTACAAATGTATCTGTACTCATGGTTATACAGGTGATCATTGTGAGATTGAACCGTTGCCGGCTATATGGAGTGTATGGTCAGCATGGTCTGATTGTATTTGGCCTGACTTGAATGAAATATGTCACAAGAAACCATATCGTCAACAAACACGCACTTGCATAACTAATGTTATCGGCCAAAAATGTGTGGGGGAAACGAGAAAGATCACACACAGTGGGTGTGATTTGAGTGCAGTGAGTGAGCATTACATATGTATGATATTTCATGAGTTCATCTTTACAATTGAGTTTAATTTTGATTAGCTTAAACTTTTAAGTGGCTCAGTCACATAGTGTTGTGTCGATCGTTATAACACAACACAAATGCTTTGCCGCAATCACAAACTCGTCCGTCTTACATCTCATGCGATCGATATGACCCAACGGAAAATTGAGGATCAGTCAAGTAATGTTCACATCTTTAATGATCGACTGAACACCTTTGCTAGCACTCCAAGTCGAATAACTAATATCAGCACTGCTCACCCCGATACACGAACGACAATTTCAAGACACGGTCGAATGATTGAGACCCACGCAGGTTTACTACCCTCAAGAAAATAGACTCCATAACCGAAAAGTAACACAGAGCAAGCTGTTGTACAGTACAATCGCCACTCGACACGCACACGGATATTTCGTCTATCCCACCACACGTGTTGAACAATAAAACTGCTAAACCAACTGAAATTGTTATTATTATAGAAAGTTGGATAACTGCAAACCGAACCCATCATCTCCCTCTAGCCAGTGATCAACCTGACATTTCTACTAACTCATAAACATTAAAAACTCGATCACTTGTTATACATTTTTTTTATCGTTTTTATTTCGTTCCCAGCTGTATTCAAAATCACATATCAACAACATATCACAAACTAACCGTCAAAAACTAATAAACGCACTGAAGTTATGTGATCTATATGGTCAACAATATGCCTTACCATCAAATGAATATGGATTAGACGAACAGTCTATAACAGTTGGAGAAGAGGCTGATCGGAGTACAACCGGTTCACAATATGCACCACAATTACATTCGAATGAATCAGTAAGAATTGGCCAATCACCATCAGCAAAATGGATCATGAAACCAGATTACCTACTCATTATAGGATGGATATATGTGACTGTGCTACACGTAGGAATAATGCTTTTATGGATTTATTATATACACCGTTGGAGAACAGAAGGAAGGAATTAGATAATGAACGTTCGAAAACACCGATTTCGGCACTTCAATTTGCTGAACTCTCCTTTTGGTTTTTCATGGACAGTAAGTGCTATTGCGAATTTATGCATATAAGTATTTAGTGTGCAACGGATTTCATCTATTCTGAAGTAGTGCATATTGCAAATGAAATATTGTCTGAATAACAAATAAAAACAAACTCCTATTCATCAGGTGCTTTGGTTTATTACAAAAATCTCCAGAAGCAGACAAATAGGGGCACACTTTGAGACAGCTGAACGTTGATGCTTCCTTGTAGTTGTCAAACAAGCTATCAATCAAATCAAACTTTGGTCACTGATTTTGATCATCGTGAAAATCTTAGGCGAATTATTTATCCGAGTTATCTTAAGTAATTATCTCTATGAATTATCGCTGCGATTTGGTCGAAGCAGTTGTTCTCAATGCGAAATTTAAGTAGAAAGTGAGCTAAAATGATCTAGTCACACTGATTGAAGAACATGTATAATTCCATCAACTGATTTTTCTTTTTCGAAATGCGATGATTGCAAACTGAGAACAGTTGCCGTCACGGGTCGTTTCGGTTCAACTATACTACTAGTCAATAACCTTCATTAGCCGACTGTAATGATTCAAGTAACTATAAGTCAGCCTAATTCAATATTTTACGACCAATAATGTATCGGAAGGTCTTAAGAAGAAGTCATGATGAAGGGTAGGTCTCATATCACGTCAAACTATGCACTAAGCATTCAACGAGAGTGCTTAATATGCAGATACACGAAAGAACAGATCACAGCATTTCTTCATATTGACACGGTCGGGTCAAATGAAGGACTATACTCCGATCCTGGTGCGAGATTTCAAGGTCCTACCCAGCCAGGTAGGCCTGTTGTCCTACTTGACTGAAGTTTAGAAAATTAATATCTCTGACATGAAGTCTAGAAAGTGAATTGCGAAGAACAGGAGTACCATTCCGTGTGCTCGAATCGGTACCATTAGCGACGCCGGGAAATAAAGATGAGAGAGGGGTTAGTCGTGGAGTGAAGGTCGTCAAGTAGTGTGTGGGGATTTGGTTGCGAACAATTCAGTCCGGTGTGCTGATAGGCGTATTAGGACAGATGCCACTTCCCGGTTGCCCGCACGGCGAAAGGCTATCTCTGAAAGGACCTGAAAAGAAAGTTGAGTTATTGTTGGTCGTGGTGACCTGGCAGCGTGACCGCAGAATACAAGGAGCAACTGCCACGGCCTTTCATGGGACGCTCTTGAAGTGGTAACTCCGCTCTTCTGAAGGCCTTACCACCGAGTTCGGTAGTACCTACTAGGGTAAAGTGAAAAGTTATACTTTTACGGTCGACCTTACTAACCCTCCTTTCATTTCGAGTCATCAGTTGAGATTGTGGCGACATGTGTTACGTATGCCTAACGACCGATTACCTCAACTCACTATGCTATCTGATATAGGAGTAGGCCGGAAGCAAAAGGCGGCCAAACAAACACACCACACTAATCCATCAAGTCACAGACAACCCGGCTGAGCCATGTTCGTAGATGTAGACTATCTGGTTGGGGTCCCCGACCGTAGCTGCTACCTTGACGTGGTGGTCGGGCTTGCCTATCCTGATGACCCAACCGAGCTATACTGGCTGGAACACATGTTCCTGCAGGTCCTACCATGCCAGGCAGGTCGATTGGAGAACGATGAGACTAAAAGCAGCTACCCAAGGTCTGAGGGCGAAGTCGTACTGCTGACTGCAGAGGGGTGTGACAGCAGTAAGGTGTTTCCCTCGGACAACCAGCATCTGCAGCGATGCTGCCTTCTCACAAGGAAGGAAGGGTTAGAAAAGGTCGGCCCTAAAAATGTCACACCTCCCCTAACTCACGGATTTCCGTCTCCTTGGGTAAGGGTGCCCACTAAGGGCCTTTAAGAACGGAGCTAATCCTCAAAAAACATTTGATAAAAAGGCCATGCGTGACTGGCCTCAAGCAGTTGTCCCTTGGGCTCTGCGGTCACGCACCAACACTAATCTATCTTCCTTTTCAGGTTCCTCAAGAAACAACCTTCCACGGTGTGGGCAGCCGGGAAGTGACAACCGCCCTCATACCCATAACAGCACGCGAGACCGAATTGGTCAAAATCAAATCCTTCCTACACCCCCTAGTACCTCTCTTATCTCCACGACTAACTCTTCTCACATTCATTCATCACAGTGCACAGCTAATGCAGACGATACGAGTTCGCGAAACGTCATTCCTGGTCTCCTTAAACCTCGCTCTAGACTACATGTTGGAGCATTTAATGTACGGACATTGTGTCAAATAGGGCAACAGGCTTCCTTAGCTAGGAATTTAGAATCTCGTGCCATCGATGTATGCTGCGTCTCGGAAACGCGCATACAGGATCCGAGTCACGTCATACACTTGACCACACCATGTCAAAATAAAGAAGCAGCTCGATTTACTCTTCGTGTATCCGGTAGCCCTGATGCTGCTTCCAGGGGTCTTGCTGGCGTAGGCATAGCATTGAGTCCTAGGGCAGAACAATCTCTCCTTGACTGGATCCCAATAGATAGTCGATTATGCGCTGTCCGACTAAACGGGACAGTAAGGACTCGGAAAGATAGGGACAATCGCCGTTGCCTCTTCGTCGTATTTGCCTATGCCCCCACTGAATGCAGTTCAGACGAGGTTAAGGATGAGTTTTACAGAAAGCTCTCGGACCTCCTCCAAAAAGCTAGGCGCTCTGATATAGTAATAATGGCTGGTGACTTTAATGCTCAAGTAGGTAGACTAAGTGAGCAGGAGAGACACCTAGGTGGATGTTATGGTGTCGCGGCTCAGAGAACAGACAATGGTGACCGTCTGTTGCAAGCATGCTCGGACAACCGCCTATTCTTAGCAAACACTAACTTTAGGCATAACACCGTTGGATGCCGGCCCAGTGGTCCGATGGTAAGGCGTTCGCCTACAATGCCAAAGGTCCCGGGTTCGAATCCTGCGAGGAGCAGGAGTCGTGGATGCGCACTGCTGAGGAGTCCCATACTAGGACGAAACGGCCGTCCAGTGCTTCCAGGTTTCTAATGGTGATCTAACAATGATGATTGATTAATGATTTCAAATGTGTAAAAACGCAAAACCTCCAAAACTGTGCCCCAATATAATGTAACAGTGCTCACTAGTGACTAGCTTCGTGAGGAAATTCTCGGAGTTCTAGTTGAGAAGACGTGACCAGTGGAGTTCAACCCTGTCGGGTGTAGGCAGTAACTACCAAAGACAAATGGGTGAGGTCGCGCAAAATCCCTAGATCAATCAGAGTTAGACATTAACACCGTTGGATGCCGGCCCAGTGGTCCGATGGTAAGGCGTTCGCCTACAATGCCAAAGGTCCCGGGTTCGAATCCTGCGAGGAGCAGGAGTCGTGGATGCGCACTGCTGAGGAGTCCCATACTAGGACGAAACGGCCGTCCAGTGCTTCCAGGTTTCTAATGGTGGTCTAACAATGATGATTGATTAATGATTTCAAATGTGTATAAGGAAAAGCATCTGTTGACCTGGCGACCTCCAAAGTCGTCTCAACGTTGGACTCAACTAGATCACATTGCCATCAGCCACCGATGGAGGGGTTCGATAGAGGACTGTCGCTCGTTCTGGAGCACATGTCTAGATTCAGTTCATGCCCTAGTGCGAGCGCGTATTTGTTTGAAGCTTACTGGGCGTAGGAAAGACACCGTAAGAAAGCCTCTTAGGGTTTTACTTAATGATAATAAGGCGAAAAATATATTTCAGGAACAACTAGAAAGACAGTTAGGCGACCATTTAAGCGATTCCCATCCGGAAGCAGGATGGAATGATATCAAAAAGGCTGTGGAAACAGCAGTGATATCTGCTAGTAAGGTTGACCATAAGGCTGGAATGAAACCGTGGATATCAGTAGCATCCACCGATCTGATGGATGCCCGAAACCTCATCCCACCTGGCTCTGAACATGATGAAGAACGAAGTCAACTTAGGCGCAGACTTATAAAAAGTCTGCGTAACGATCGCGAACAGTGATGGGTGGCGAAAGCAAAAGCGATGGAAAAGGCAGCGGCGATAGGCAACAGTAGACAACTTTTCCGACTTATCAAGGAAACTGGTATTAGGAATCCTAGTGTGAGACTGTCTCAGAAAATGATGGGACTACTGGATCGATGGGCAGAACACTTTAGGGATCAGTTCAACTGGCCTCGAGCCACTCTTCAGTTACCCACGATCTCCAGTCATCCTGAATGGCAAATCGACGTAAGTCCCCCTAGTCTTAATGAAGTTGAAAAAGCGTTAGGAAATCTGAAGCGAGGGCGAGCTGCAGGTCCTGATAGACTGACCCCTGAGATATTTAAGGATGGTGGTCCAGTTTTAGCAGCTAGGTCGACCGAGATCTTAGGTAGGATCTGGGAACTGGACGTAATCCCATCCGACTGGTCTCAATCACTGATTGTCCCAATCTATAAGAAAGGACAGAAGTCTTCTTGTGACAATCACAGTGGAATGAGTCTAACTAATATAGTATCTAAAATATTACCCTCAGTAATACTTCGACGCTTAACGAAAGCTCGTGAACAGCCAACTCGAGAAAATCAGTCTGGTTTTCGACCTGGACGTGGTTGTATAGACCACATTTTCACACTACGACAGGTCCTGGAACACAGACACACATTTAGGCGTCCTAAAATAGTTGTTTTCCTGGACCTTAAGGCGGCATTTGACTCAGTGGATCGTGAAGTTCTGTGGCAGTGTCTGTCATTGAAAGGTGTACCAAATAAGTACATTAACCTTATACAAGCTCTCTACTCCAACACCACTGGTCGAGTGAGGGCTTATGGCGAACTGTCACCGGAATTCTCTACTTCAAGTGGTGTCCGTCAGGGCTGTCCACTCTCTCCATTCTTGTTTAATTTTATCATAGACATGCTCCTAGAAATAACATTATCCTCGTCTGAATTTTCAGGAGTAGACCTTCTACCAGGTGGCTCGCTTATTGACTTAGAATATGCCGATGACATTGTCCTACTTGGTGAAGACGCTGACAAAATTCAGAGTCTTCTGACCACCCTAAGCAACAAAGCAAGCATGTTCGGGATGCGGTTTTCCCCCTCGAAATGCAAAATGTTGCTTCAACACTGGGTTGCATCGGCACCTGAACTAGTGATAAGGAGT